ATTAATCGTTTATAATGTTTACGAATCTTTTTAATATAATTAGATATTTTAGAATTTGATGTTTAAGACCGAAACCCAATACCAGGGCATTATCACACCATTATAACACGACACATTATAACCGGTTCTTGAAATACAGCACTCGGACATTATCTCACAGACGGACACTTTATAACGCGACACCGGTACTTGAAATACAGCACCCGAACATTATCTCACAGACGGACAATGTATAACGTAACACCGGTACTTGAAATACAGTACCCGGACATTATCTCACGACCGGACACTTTAAAACGTGACACCAGCACTTCAAATACAGTACCCGGACTCTATCTCAGGGCTGGACACTTTAAAACGTGACACCGTCACTTCAAATACAGTACCCGGACACTATCTCACGGCCGGACACTTTATAACGTGACACCGGCACTTCAAATAAACCGTAGCTTAGTTTTCAGTTGAGTGTATAAATATAGTCTTGTTATTCGGAAATAACTTCGAAAATAATGTTGGGGTATAATCTTGCTAAACGTGCCACCCCACCCCTTGATATACAGAAACTGTTTACGAAAAATAATAGATATTATTATATATATAAGTCGATTTGTAATAATTCATTTACTCTTTCATGAATAAACAAGTTTTACCAAAACATTGTACAGAAAAGAGGAATACCAATTATTTATAGGTTTTCTTCCTTCCCTCTTTAATTTTTCGAAAACAATCCCTTTAAATTCGAAACTAGAAACTCAGATGTTTAGTATCCTTGATCTTGGAAAAGATATTTCCTTTAAATCCGTTGAAGTCAGAAACAGAAATATGGAGTCTTGAGAAAACCTAGATAAAGATAGATTGTCCATGGAACATTTACCCAACTATAATAAGAGGTTCTTTTCATAGATAATCTTGAAAATCTGATTACAAACAAGTCTGTAGACCTTATGCAAAATAGTGCGAAGGAAGATTATCTTTATTTTTACCAAATTTACTCACTCCAGTTGTTTACGTTAGGAGCCTTTAAAATTGTAATTTTTATATCTACAAGCCTGAAATTGAGCTCATTGAATCAAACATTGTACGTAGCTTTTAAAAATGGTCTCAATTTCATAAGAGTCTACAGATGCTTATTCTCCATTTGTTTTGAGACACCCTGTATATTGTTAGATCTTCATATAAATTTTAAGCAATTATTACATTTACTAATACTGCACACAAACTATAACACCACTTTTTACAATTACATAATGCAGTATTTTTGATTATTATTAAAGTATAAATAAAAATATTCTCGATCTGGTTTTCATTTTCATAGTTAAATATTGACAAACACTTTATTTCCCTTATTCCTAGAGGATTTCCCTTATCCCTATATAGGATTTCCCTTATCCCTATAGGGTTTCCCTTATCCCTATAGGGTTTCCAAATTGCAATCGGCCTTCAAAGCGCCCCGAAAGCCTGAATTCAAAATATTGTTTTTTTATTAAACAAATCCAAAAATTTTAAGTTTCCCATTTTTGTTTGTTATGAACAAAGACGTTTGGACACACTATGTACAGCTCAGATGTCGAAAAATGTTCTAATGTAAATCTACAAAAAATTAAATCAAACCCCGGAAATCTTGTTTTTTCCCCTGATAATTTCTTTTCAAAAATCTAATAGAAAAGGAAGTAA